TATTATAGTAGTGAAACAGAGGACACAGAAGGAAAAATCCACACCAATAATAAATGCAACCGTATCTCGCACACAAAAGAAGAAATTAAATACGTATTTTATGACTACCACTCGTCTCGCTTCTCATAGGTGTGGCTTTGCTTATTCAAGTTCCCATCTTCACTAACATTCATTTTTTCCCTTAATACCTGCACTCATTGTTATATCACACCCGACAGTAGCTTTTCAACAACAAGCTATCAAGTATATACATTGGATTTCAGTCCGGGAGGGGGGGGGGGGGGAATGCTGGACGTTTGGTCGATATCCGAGCTTCCTTCCTTCGATGAATGGGGCAATAACTCGACAGCTCTCGTCTTCGAACTTGCTACTTCAACATGCGACCCAACTCAGACTCTCAACTCCACGCCCAACGAATTACATCTTCGAACTTGGCCGCCGCTTTTATTACTGTATACGTAGGCTTACGTGGCTTCGCGGCCGCCACTCCCTCCACGCTCTGGGTATCCGACGCCTACCCACTGAGCTCGAGCCCGAGCAACAACACTTTCCTGCCGCCCCTCCTCCTCCACATCCTCCAGGAGATCGTCACATGGGCAACCACGATGTACAATAGCACCTGCCCCCGCTCCCAGTTTCCGAAGCTCTGGCCCGAGCCGGTGTCGTGGATCTTGAGCACCCACCCCCCGGAATCCTTCTCCAGCTTCTTCAACCTGGTGTTCCTCACCCGCCTTTTTGGGTGTGCGCGTGCGACGCGCCCTGCCAGGTCATCTCCTTCTATCTCGACTCCCTCCTGTGCCCCAACATCGAGTTCCTGCTGACGTCGCTGGTCCTACCCAAGTTCTTGGCCGCAGTCAAAGCAGACGCGGAGCTCCGCTTCATGAGCACCCTGGGCTACATGCTAGCCAAGTGGCTCATTTCTAGAGAGATGGGCTTGCGGACGCTGCTGCTGGGCTTCTTCAATGCCACGGAGGCCCACGGGTTTTGTGCTCCGGAAGTCAAACGTCATAGAACTTACATCACAACAGACGTTTGAATTCTAGAACACAAATTTATAACATTTCAAAGTTTGGTGAAATCGAAAAATTGCTCGTTCAGGATAGCAAACAATATTTTTCGGGACGAATACGGGACCAAAGAGCTTACGATAATACGTTTGTTAGGGGAAGAAGCAAGCTAATGAGGCGACATGCAACGATTGTGATTCCAACCCTTATGGCATTCCACCCCTAAGGGTTTATAAAAAATTGCCCATATATTGATGTGTGAATCACAACATATGTTTTGCGGTAATGCTGTTGGCATACTAGGGTAGGTACACCGGTTTTTGATTTGAGTTATGGTTTGGTTTTTGAAAAAGATCGGGTCGTTACATAACGATACATAGACCGCCCGACCGGGTTTGTTAATTCGAAAAATACTTGCTCTCTACTAACCCGATTGAAGGTTCATCTTTGACTTTCGATTAGAAGTGTAGTTAAATAAAAAAGAACAAAAGGATTAATGCAACAAAGTTGAAACAATAACTCAAAAGTGAGTATTGATTAGTCACTTTGAATGTTGAATTTGTCAAATCTCAGATGTGCATTATTCCAAATTACTAGGACCAAAAAAATTGATAGAAAAAGAAAATTTCACTTGTTGATGCACCTATTTGGTATACATTTTTAGGAATGGCCAAAATCCATAGGTGTTAGATTCAAATACCAAATGCAGTGCAACACTGAAATAAACTAGCCAAATGACATTTATGTTTCTTTCTTAATATCCAATTGGTTTGTTTTTTTAAATTATGAATTTTTTTAAGTTCATTTTACACAATAAGTGATTGTAATAGTATGTTTGAGCTGTGAACTATTTTATTTAATCAAAAGTCTGAAAAAATTACTTACAAATCGTTTGGTATCAAATGAATCGAGAATTTATTTTATTTTAAAATGAATTACTATATGGAATTCATTGTCAAATGAATTCTTGTTTTTGGTATGTTATATTCAAATCTTTAGAAATAAAATGAATTCAATCCTCAAACCATGTTTGACATACGTTTAGAATTGAATTAAACTAAAAGTTTTCAACTACACCCTTATTAATTTCCAGCATAAACAATATTCGTTGTAATACATCTTCTAAAAATGCTTTTGGTCCCATAAGTAGAGTATCAAAAGTGTTCTTATGTGTTTCTATTATATTCATTAGTTCTTTTGTTGTAAAAATAAATTCATTAGTTCTTTTTAAATATTTCGTCGATGAAGCCTGCACTCTAATTGTGCCTTCTGAACGTATTGATACAATTGAAGCAGAAATATCAAATAACCAACATCTGCTATTAGTTTTGCAATCAAATTCTTGTCGACATTCCTTGTACTACTGAGTTGACGCCAAATCATATATGTAGAAGTAATTTAGTTAATAAATGAGGATAATTATGTCATTTTATTATAATTAGTAAATACTTGTGGAATTCATTTGCTAATTTCATCTCAATTCCTAAGAATTGCTATAACTACTTCCAATTCCGTAGAATTCAAAATTTAGAATTGGAAATGAATTCTTTTAAATACCAAGCACAAAAAGTTTTCATTTAAAAATGAATTTCTCAAAACTCATGGAATTCATTTATACCAAATGGTATGTTAAAAGATTTTTCATTATAATACGTTTTGAACTATACTCATAAGCCAAAGTCGGCTATTAGCAACCACAAGTCCACAACTATTTTGGAAATTTACCAGAAATACCATAAAAAATTTAATATTTCCAAAGTACCATAAATTTTCGAAAAATTCGAAAAATACCACCATTTCCCAAAAACCGTAGCCCCATATGGCGGTTTATACGAAAACCGCAGGGGGTGCCGCGGTTTTCATTCGTGCCGGCTGAAAACCACATGGGATGACCGCTGTTAGATTGATAGTGCGTCACCTCAGCGATCCAAGGGAAAACTGCCACCCACTCTGCGGTTTGCCTATGATTTTTTTTTCTCTAAAACTTCAAACGAGCATAATTTTACGCTCGGGTATCTGAGTGTACCTAAAAAATATTTTATTCCGCATAATTTTTGGAGATCTTGCAAGCCGCAAATTGCCGTAGGTGGTTTGGTCCCGTATTCGTCCCGAAAAATGCCGTTTGCTATCCTGAATGAGCAATTGTTTTCAATTTCGCCAAACTTTGAAATGTAATAACTTTGTGCTCCGGAAGTCAAACATCATCAAATTTTTTTATTTAGCGTAAAATTTTATGGACTACAAGTTTTACTTGGAAGGAATTTTCAAAACAAGAAATATTTTTGAATATAAGGGGTTTTGGGTATAAATTTGGCTTTACTTTTCACAAATCCACATACATTCTGAAAAAAATAGCTATGATATAAGTTTTATTCCTTACAAAGTTATGCGGAATAAAATTTATTTTTGCAACGATCGGATAACCGAGCTCAAAGTTAAGTACGTTTGTAGTATTAGAAAAAAAATTCATAGGGAAACCGCGGGTTGGGGTGGTTGTTTTGCCCTGAATTTCCGAGGTGATGCACGGTCAATTTGACACCGGCGAGCCCATGCGGTTTTCAGCTGGCAGGAACAACCGCGGCACCCCCCTGCAATTTCCGTATAAACCGCCATATGAGGCCGCGTTTTTTGGAAAACGGTGGTATTTGTGGAATTTTTCGAAAATAGATGGTATTTTTGGAAAATTTCAAACTGTTTTTCTGGAGATAAATAGTGTAACCGATGAATTAACATTTGACTATTTATGATTTCTTAGTTATTACCTTTTAGGATTATTGTTAACCACAAAGGTTGAATTCAATTCCTTCAAGTTACCAGTAGGCTAATACGTACCTTAGAAGTTTTTAGTTCAATACATATTGTCCTAGTTTCGTCTGGAGATAATAGAAAATCAAGTTAATAATATCGAATCGAATGAATAAATACCTCTTAAACCATAAATGGTAACAATAAGAAGTATAAAAATTTCTTCTAAAATATGAAAATATATATCGAAAATAGTAAGTTTAGCGATGACAATGGGACGGGGCGGGGCGTGTCAATACTCATACCCAGCCTGCACTAAGCGCGGGGTAGGTCGAGTCAACACGTTCTTATATGTTGTTTGTAAAAATAACATCGATGCATAACTCTTTTACAATAACTCGTATAGAAAAAACTTCATAAATTAACGAGCAATATAGTAGATGAATAATTCAGTTTAAATTGTTGAAAGATAGTTTTAGGTTCAAATCTCTTAAGTAGTACCTACCCCAAAAACTAAACCTATATCACCCTTATAAAAATAATAATTGAAAAATAATATCGTAAAATTTCTTTGAGATGAAAATATAATTTTAGAATGGTCAAAAGAAGATAAATACACGCGAATATTGATGCAAATCAATGATAGAACAGGTCATGAACTGGACGGGCAAATCAAAAGCAATATTCATGCTCAGTTATATGCTATTGTACCCATAGCTCCAAACAAGTCGGAGTAGGTCAGATCACGCGGAAGGGATCATAAATTGCCACCACTACCACCAGTAAGTTCATATTAACAAATCCACAAACAATGAGTACCATAAATATTGCTTTCAAATCATAAAATGAACTATATAAAACATCTCAAATAATTTATAACATAAATAATTAATAAACATAAATTACATAAATCAAAGTGAAATTTATCCGACCAGTGGGATAGGTAAAAGATATCAATAACTAAATTGATCCAGCTTTCATGATGGTCTTAATAATTGCATTTACCTAATTAATCCTTCATCTCCACGTTAGTTGGTAATCACAACATTTGTTGATGAAGCGTATCTGTGATCGTTGTCATTTTACATCTTGATTTGAATTTTGATCAGGTACAAGTTTGCATACCTAACCAGTGAACCAACCATGTAATCATTCCAGGCTAAACCTTAACTCAAAAGACGAAGTGTTACATTATATATTCACGGGAATGAAAAAAAAAAAAAAAACACTTGCCAAGTATTTCCCCCTTCAACTGCGACAACGAGTAATGGCGCTGCAACCACGGGTATAAGGATTGGCCTCCGCCCCAGCCTGACAGTTGTAGTAAGACGCCCCTCTCATGGAACACGGCACCGTATTCCTCTTGAGAGCATCGTAACTTATAAATCCTGCGCCCCCGGCCTGCTGCAGTATCCGCCTCCCGATGAAATCCTCCGCCTCCTCGTAGACAAAGACAATGCTACCTCTGCACTCCCCAAGATTCCCTTGGCAACCGCCCCATACAGCCGCATCGGCGACGGCATTGGAGGATAAGGAGATCATGATGATAATATTAAGTGGGGAAACTAAGAGAAGGAGAAAAATCATCACGGAGGAGAATGAGGAGGCCGCCAGCTCCATTGGTTTTTTTTCTTCCAGGGCTTATGAAACCAAAACGAGGGTAAAAGACAGAGTGGAAAGAAATGGAGAGGAAACAAGAAGCTTTGTAATATGTATAGACCATGGGTTGACGATTTCCGTGCTGGTAATGCAGGCCTATATCATATCCATCATTGTTTCTTTTATTTTCTTCTGTAAAAGCAGGCTTACTAGTTATTAATGATGATATTATAATATGGACGGCAAAGGATGGACTGGATTATGGTTAATGGTGAAAATGACATCCGGCTTTCTGTCTTTTCCTTGCAGATCAACGACGACACTTGGAACATTTTACCCACGCCACTGGAAAAGGCTCAAAGTTTCCAAAAATAAAAAGATGGGAACAAAGCTCCAAAAAAACTTGCTAGATTGTGAAGCGTGAGTTTATTGATATACCAAAAGTCTCGAGGATATTAATTATTTAGTCAAGTAATTAATTCTTTGTCCTCCAAGTATTTTGTTTTCTTGTCCATGTAAAAGAAAGAAATTTGGTTGTTATTAGAGTTTTAATCTTAAGTCTATCTTTAAATAAGTTTAGCTACATACCTGTCGTAAGCAAGCCGTCAAAATTTAGTTGTTCAATAAAACCTCAGCCGTGAGCTATTCCGAGCTCACCGTGGATTAGTCTCGATCAATCGGTCGAGGATACAACGTAAAATCCGGTGTCTCTTATGTTCTTTCGATTCCGCGTTATCAAATTCTACATGGTGTCAGAGCAGTATATTCAGCTAGTCTTCCCTGCACCAACGAAGTTCATCCCGCTGACTTGTTTTGTTCATCAGCGATGTTATTCCGCTGAGCACAGTCGACCTAGGCGAAGTCCACTTCGCTGTGGGTCATCAATGCCCAATCATTCACGGTTGCCGTCATCAGGAGGGTCGATGTTCATTTAGGCCTCCAACTATGTCTCCATCGCCGTCGCTGTCATCATCGCTGACTCCTCTATCTGGATCTCGGTCGCCATCACCATTAGTCTCCAGGTCACTAGATCGCCTCGTAGCCATCGTCATTGTAGACACCACTTTTTTTCCTGCCTAACATACATATTTATTTAAATAGCGAAACTTGAATGACCTAACTAAAACGTATTTATTGTGCTGGGAATGAGTCTTGTTTGCGATAACTTGACGAGATTAAGCAATAGCAAATCTCGATCAATACAAATGATAGTGAGAATTGCGATGTTTTGCTTTGGTTTGACAAATTAGGGGATTTAACAATTGTGTGATTGATCTTTGAATTGGTTTCTAAAACTTTGGATCTAGCGAGGATTGGAGCTCGATTTCGAAACAATAGTAGACAAGGACAAGCAATAATCATCTTATTCAAATAAATTATAATTACATCAAACATAAATCAAAATTACAAGATAATTATGATTTACAATTGCAATTACCATAAACATAAATTACTATTACAATTAGTACAAAAATTTACATTACAACTTATTACAATAGTAATCACAAGAATGTTAAAAAAGAAATTGGGCCCAAGTCAAAACCAAACAAAAATGTCAACAGTCAACCAAAGTCAACGCCTAGTCAACTCTGACCCAAGCCAAAATCAAAACCATACAGGAAGACCTGGTCTAACCGACAACCCAAACCTGGTATAACCAAAACCAGTACTATTGCAAACTTGGGGAACAATCTGCCATCTCTCTATAAATAAACACCCTGAGCTGCTGCCGAAAAAGGGGTTGAAAAAGAGAGACTTCCTTCTTCTTCTTCCTCCCTACGGTTCCACTCCTGCTTCCCTCTTAGAAAAATCATCCTCACATTCTTTCTTGTCTGATCCACAAAACTCAAAGAACAGAGGAACTCATGCAAAATCCATTCGCACTTCATCTTCTTCCTCCTAGACACCAACAAACAAGCAAAGAGAAGAGAAAGAGTGCAAATTCTAGGAAACCCTTCACCAACACCACAACAATACAAGGAGCAAAACACACACACACGACAATATCAAATTACAGAAAGAAAAAGTAGCAGGAACGAGAGGAAAGCAGCAACATCCCTTCCCCAAATTAAAAAGATAGGTGAGTGTAAAACTACATTCCATCCACCTTTCTATCATCATCTCCTTTTTATCATCTCTACTTCTACCTTTCTTTAACAAAATGGTTTCTAACTAATCGGCATCCAAGCAAACTACAGGTTGACAATTGACTCGCTCAAAACTACACCACAATAAAATCCCAACTAGAGCCCAAGTTTTTAAGCTCTAGTAGAGTGCAGTATAGGGCAAGTATTTAGATATCGACCCGGGCCGGTCCGTCTACCCTTACTTCGGTTGTTGAAATAATTATCTAGCAACAAAGTTTTGGTTTAATGGTTTGCTAATTGAAATGAAAGAAAGCAAAGGTAATTGGTTTTGAAAACTCTTTTGTGGAAGGATTACTCGGGTGTCGCTTCCCCCTAACCGTTACCATGATATGTGCATTGAAACGATTGCTTTGGGCACGGTAATTGCGAACCGCCGAGGGATGCACATATGGTCGGAGACCACAATCTCAATTGCTAAACCGAGGTAAGCATGAGAGGTCGTGTCACTCGACCCTCTCGGTTTAGACAATCGGTAGTTGACTTACTCCCTCACTCAACTCTAAGGTCGCACGGCTTAATCACGATTAACCGATTTGCTTAACTCAATATTGAGGGTTGCCCAAACTTAACCTTGTTTAGGTGCTAATTAGATTGCTATCACCAACATGCATGAACCTAAGGGTGCTAAGCACAATTATGCATAATCCTTAGGTTGCTAAGCACCTAAATGCACAAACCTAAGGATGCTAAGCACAAAACGTGCACAACCTCTAGGTTGCTAAGCAAAAGCATGCACAATAATGATGAATAATGCCTCATTCATTGAATTAAACAATACCCAATGACAATCATCCAATTCACACAAAAGAAAACTACATGGTAGAGTTAGGGTTTCACCACACCCAAGTGAAAGGAGGTCTACTCCATGCTAGAAGTGGGAAAAACAAAAGGGAAAGAGGTGGAAACCATCTTGGAGGATGCTCCCTGTCTTCTTGCCCCTTGAGTTGAGCTTTCTTTGAGGAAATCTTCCCAAAATCTGCCTTGAAGCAAAACCCTAGCCTTGTTCTTCCTTTGGTTCGTGTTTCTCTCTCTAGAATTCAGAAGAAGGCTTCTCTCTCAAAATGGGCTCTCCCGTCTCTCCTCCTTTCAGCTCATCATTAAAACCCGTGACGAGCTGAGTTCACGACCGTGAACCACGAAACGTGTTCGCGAACTTCAGGCGTGCGCCAAAATGCGCCGCATCGTTCACTTCTGTTCACAGTCAACTGGCTTTGTTCACGCTCACCATGCGTCAGTAACCTTCATTTTGGCTCTGGACGCCTCGTGATTCACGGTCAAGGGCTCTTCTTCACGGTCTTGCATGACCGTGAACTTCCTGAGAAAGCCGTGAACTGGCCCTTTTTCACCTCTTCTCCCGGTTTTTGATCCTTTTCGCCCAACTTTCGACTCCGAGGCTCGTTTCACCTGTTGAATCCTAAAAAACACTCAAACACGAGGAATCTAGCATAAAACCAACCTTTTAGGAGCAAATTTGGCACAAACACCTAATTAAAACGGGGGCAAAACATGTACAATTAGGCCCGAATCACTCCCCCACACTTAGACGTTTGCTTGTCCCCAAGCAAACCATTTCACAGAAGGTAATATTTCAACCTATACAAATACTTTGGGGACAACTCAAAGGGCACAAAGTGGGAATTCTCAATGGCTATTGGCAATCAATACATGGACCATTGCAAGCAATACCGATATCCACCACAAATGACATTCGAAGCCACCAAAAACGGGCAAACGAAAAGTTCTCACCTTGTTCATGGATCAATGCAAGTCGCAACAAGACCACTTATCAATCACAACCGACCATGCATGGAATTCATGTCCGAGGAACAAATGGAAAGGAAACAAAGGTCCTCACCGGGGTATGATATGACATGCAAAGCTAGAATGAATCACTCACTCTCAAGACCAGTGGGGTCGGGACCTTTTTGGTGCAAACGATGTGCACAATAATAAACTCTCGACCCTATCATCTCAATACCACGGCAGTAACCTCTAGATGTTAGAGTTCACGGGCTTGGTTGTCACCACTAGCTCGTCCACAGGTCTTAGACACGAGTTCAGATGACTGTCAATTGTCTTGGACATGGGAAAAAGGCCTTTTGGGTGGTGGCAATCATGACGTGAGGTTCTACATCTTCGACCTAAACCCGAAGGTTCTATGGTTTCGACTAAAACCCCTCTTTTCAACCCAAGGCCACTAGCATCGGCCAAAATCCTTATCTCTCCTTTCCAAATTATAACCCATCGTGAACTACATTGAAGCGCTCTTCCTCGGTCTACCTTTGTTAGCACATTAAGCTTTGGTAGTGAAGGAGTTCTAAAACAATGTGGGGGTTTCGATGGCTTGGTGCCAAAAGACCCTTCCTAGAGCATGTACTTTGGTTTTTCGTGGCACTCTCTACTTTATTTACCCCATTTTATTACCTTTTTTTCGTTTCTCTTTTCTTTTCTTTCTTTTTCTTCTTTTCTTATCGAGGGGGGTACTGGAGAGTAAAAATACTTGTCACCTATGCATTTAATGACCAATGCTCTCTTTTTGAGGACTCACTCCAGCACTACCCTTCATTTTTCTCATCCCTAGCAAGGACCGCACATGAAACTCTTATGCAGAACCTCTATGGAAACTCAAAGGTGAGAGCTGTGGGACACATGGATGACTCATGTTTAGACACGAAGAAAGGATTGGGAACGTTCTATTAACACCATTAAGCTCACACGCACGAAGCTCCTAAATCAAGAACGACCCACGAAGTCACACGACTCAAAGGGGTTGACTAAAAGATGACACATTTCGGGACAATCAACATTTGGGTGTGGAATAATCCTATGCCTCCATCATAC